TTCATTATCATGTTAATGATACTGTTAAATTAATGTAAGAAGTCTATAAGGGGTGATATGGATTATACGGATTCCAATCGGAGTTTGCCGCTCGTCGTGAAGTAGTTGTGACTTGTTGTTGTTATATTGTGTCTTGTTATTGATATTTATAGGTTGCTGGACTTCCCTGGATGTTGTTGTTGGTATATGGTATTGAAGGAGGCCCTTGTTACAAGGGAGATGCTGCCCGAATTTACGTAGACGAGCTACTAGCTTAAGTTACAGACTTGGCCTTTGTTCAACACTGATTTTGAATCTCCTTATGATATGATAGATCGAGTTGGCTTGTTTGAAGAGTTACTTGGAAGGTATTAAGGACTCAACATGTTTAAGGTATGTTAAGGCTCTTCCTTCATTCTTTTGGCATGATCTAAAGTGAAACGAACATAAACGATACGCTATTTCATAATGAATCTACTCCTAGAAACTAAGGTTGTCCATGTTATTATTTCCTTACAAAGTTAATCCAAGAAAGTATATATGATCCTTGAGTCCTAGTGAAGTTCATATTGATGGTATGATGTCCATAATGTTAATCTATGGTGCAATGACCTTATGTCACTCCAAAAGGTTTAGAACGTGACTCCATGAGTCCAGCATGCATTATATATGTATCTACTTTACTCTATCGAGCCACGCTATAATCGGCCGGGTATGGCACCTATTGTGCAACCACTGATCAGTTGGGTTTACCGAGCTCCACGTGGCCGGGTACGATTCTACCGAGCCTTATGATGGCCGGGTACGTTTTTACCGAGTCCTCTTTGAGGCCGGGTATGATATGATGATGATGATGCCCACAGAGGCGTATGTTTTTAAAAGCTTATGTATATATATGTATTATGCATTTCATGTCAGTAGCCCCCAGAGGCACTCAGATGTTACAGGTTGTATCCCCCCTATCTCTCTTTACGTTACTGATCTTGTTTATGCTTTCCTGCCTTACATACTCGGTACTTTATTCGTACTGACGTCCCTTTTGCCTGGGGACGCTGCGTTTCATGCCCGCAGGTCCCGATTGATAGGTTGACAGTCCTCCTAATAGGTTATCAGCTCAGCGGAAGGTGCTGGTTCACTTGCTTTGGAGTTGCCTATTTAGTCAGTATGCTTTGGATATGTATTGATTGGTATAGCGGGGCCCTGTCCCGACCATTATGGTTTTATGTACTCTTAGAGGCTTGTAGACAGATTTCAGGTGTATGGATACTTGTATGGCCTTGTCGCCTATGTTTTGAGTTTACAAATTGTCATGTCGGCCTTATAGGCCCGTATGTCACATATATAAGTTTGTATATCATGTTGGGTCGTCATATGTTGACTATTCCCATTTGTTTTATTCTTGTTATCTCATGACGGGTTTTTTGACTCATTTACTCATGATAGTATGATAAGAAAGATATGTTATTTTGGTACTCGGTTGATTAAGGCACCGGGTGCCCGTCGCGGCCCTTCGGTTTGGGTCGTGACACTAGTGCGACCCTATTTCAACGCCATTCTAGAGAGCTCCTACCGTCCATTGACTATTCAAGGTTCTTCTAGTAGGTATTTCGGTCCCCAAGGTTAGACTCATGGTCAGTCATCTTTCGCACCGAGAGGTTGCTATGAGTGGGAGGAGCTTAGTCACATGAGGAGACTTTGCCCCAGGCTTCGGGGCAAGGTAGTATAGCAGGGCCATCAGCCCATGATCACCGCACCATCTGTCGTACCGGCCGGCCTACTAGAGGCAGAGGGTAGGTAGGTAGGGGTCGCCCTAGAGGTGGATACCAGCTAGGTGGCGCTCCATCTAGGTTTTATGTTTTTCCAGACAGACCAGATGCAATAGCCTTAGATATCATGATCACATGTATTATTTCTGTATGCAGTAGGGATGCTTTGGTGCTATTGGATCCAAGATCTACATATTCATATGTTTTTTATATATTTGCTCATTATCTAGATGTCTCTCATGAGTCCTTGGGTGCTCATGTATATGTGTCCACGCCAATGGACGATTCTGTTATTCTGGATCGGGTTTACCGGTCCTGTATTGTAACTTTTTATGGTTATAAGACTAGAGCGGATCTTTTGTTGCTCGACATGACATACTTGTAGGTCATCATGGGCATGGAGTGGTTGTCTCCGTACCATGCCGTTCTTGATTTCCATGCCAAGATTGTTACCTTGGCGATGCCAAAGTTGCCTAGATTGGAGTGGATTTGTTCATCTATCAGTGTATCTATTCGGGTTATCTCTTTCTTGAAGGCTTGACATATGGTCAAGAAGTTATGTTCGGGATACTGCTACAGAGACTCCCACAATTGATTCAGTGCCTGTGGTAAGGGAGTTCTCTGATGTGTTTCCTTCTGATCTACCAGGCATGCCATCGGATCGTGATATTGATTTTAGTATTGATTTGGCACCAGGTACCCAGTTTATCTCTATTCCACCATACCGCATGGCTCCGAAAGAGTTGAAGGAGTTGAAGGAACAGCTTGAGGAGTTGCTCGCGAAGGGGTTCGTCAGACCGAGTGTGTTTCCTTGGGGTAAATTGGTATTATTTTTGAAGAAGAAGAAGGATGGGAGTATACAGATGTGCATTGATTACCGTCAGTTTAACAAAGTTACCATTAATAACAAGTACTCCTTGTCGTGCATTAATGATTTGTTTGACCAGTAGCAGGATACCAGGCTATTCTCTAAGATCAACTTGAAATCTGGGTATCATTAGTAAAAGATTCGTGCTTCAGATGTTCCGAAGATGGCTTTCCGGACTAGATATGGGTACTATGAGTATTTTGTGATATCCTTCGGCTTGACCAATGCCCCGGCGGCGTTTATGGATTTGATGAACCGGGTGTTCAGGACATATCTTGACTCATTAGTCATTGTCTTCATTGATGACATATTGATCTACTCACGTAGTATGGAGGAGCATGAGCAGCATTTGAGAGTTGTGCTTCAGACCTTGCGAGAACAGAAGATATATGCTAAGTTCTCCAAGTGCGAGTTCTGGTTAGATTCTGTGGTATTCTTGGGACAGGTTGTATCGATTGAGGTACAAAGGTAGATCCCAAGAAGATCAAGGCAGTCCAGAGTTGGCCACGTCTTACCACAGCGATCGAGGTCAGGAATTTCTTAGGGTTAGCAGGTTATTATCGTCGGGTTGTGGAGGGCATCTCATCTATTGAAGCACCTTTGACTAGATTGACCCAGAAAGGTGCTTCGTTCAGATGGTCCGATGATTGTGAGGCGAGCTTTCAAAAGCTCAAGACCGCATTGACTACAGCACCGGTGTTAGTGTTTCCTTTCAGTTCAGGGATGTATTCTATGTACTGCGATGCTTTATGCGTTGGCTTGGGTTGCGTATTGATGCAAGAGTGGCGAGTTATTGCATATGCTTCATGTCAGCTGAAGTCTCACGAGAAGAATTACCCCGTACATGATTTGGAGTTGGTCATGATAATTCATGCTCTCAAGATTTGGAGGCATTATCTTTATGGGGTGTGCCGTGAGGTTTATACTGATCATCGTAGCTTGCAGCATTCTTTTAAGCAGAGGGATCTAAATTTGAGGCAACATAGATGGCTTGAGTTACTGAAGGACTATGATACTTTACCATCTGAGCAAGGCGAATGTGGTTGCGGATGCCTTAAGCAGAAAGGCCGAGAGTATGGGTAGCTTGGCATTCATTTCAGTAGAGGAGAGGCCATTGGCTTTGGACATTCAATCCTTAGCCAACAGACTTGTGAGGTTGGATATTTCAGAGCCCAGTCGAGTTCTTGCATGTGTTGTGGCTCATTTTTCATTATTTGAGCGGATCAAGGCTCGTTAGTACGATGATCAGCACTTGCTAGTTCTTAGGGAGACGGTAGTATGGGGTGGTGCCAAGGAGGTTACTATCAGTGAGGATGGTGTTCTGCGACTCCAGGATCGCCTATGTGTTCCTAATGTTGATGGCTTGAGGGAGAAAATTATAGAAGAGGCACACAGTTCTCGATATTCTATTCATCCAGGTGCTACGAAGATGTATCGCGACCTAGAGCAACATTATTGGTGGCGGTGGATGAAGAAGGACATAGTTGAGTATGTAGCGAGATGTTTAAATTTCCAGTAGGTTAAGTATGAGCACCAGAGGCTAGGTGGCCTACTCCAGCAGATGATTATACATGAGTGGAAATGGGAGTGAATCACTATGGGCTTTGTAGTTGGGTTGTTGCGGACGTTGAGGAAGTTTGATGGAGTTTGGATCATTGTTAATAGGCTGACCAAGTCGGCACACTTTATTCTGGTGGTGACCACGTACTCTTCTAAGGGATTGGCCCAGATTTACATTTAGGAGATTGTCCGGTTGCATGGGGTGCCTTTTTCATCATTTCAGATGGAGGCCCTTAGTTCACTTTGCATTTATGGAGAGCCTTATAGAGCGATTAGGGCACCCACACTACTGGAAAATTGCCCTATTGCAACGCTGGAAAATCTGTTGCTAAAGACATGTAAACCGCGACAGTAGGTCTATTGCAGCGATAAGGCAACCGTTCCATTTGCTCGCCTGCCAATAGCTCTGACGCAACGGTTCTTGTAACGGTTTCTGCATCCGTTGCTATAGTACTATCTATGGCAACGGTTATTTCTCTTTCTGATGGACCGAGTTTTTTTGCTCTATTGCAACGGTTTCCAACCGTTACAATTAGTTGTAATGCAACAGTCCGAACTGTTACTATTTGATTTAATGCAACAATTATGTAGGATATTGCAATGGTTTTTTAAGGATATTGCAACGGTTTCGTGTAATTGATTAAAAGTTATTGCATCGGTTTAAATAACCTAGTGGAACGATTTACAGATCTCTATTGTAACAGTTTGCATGACCTATTTCAACGGTTCACATTTTTTAATGAAACTTTTATCTATTGGAACGGTTCTGAATGGCTACTATAACAGCTGAATTGAAACACCCAATAGTAAATATTACACACACGATAAATACACTAAAATTTATATGATTCTCAAACGAAAGCACTCATAAACATTCACAAACTGAATTTATTATCCAACAAGGTAGTAATACCCACAAAAACAAAATATTCTAATCAAAGTTGTAAAGTCTAGATCTTCATCGCTTCGCCTTCCCTATCATCATTTTCTCCACCTACAAAGAAGATAAAAAAAGTCATTACCTTTAACATATTTCTCATTTGCAATTAAGAGGCATCCACACAAAAAGATAAGTCAAGATTCAACAAGGCTAGGTCAGGAATACCAACTTTGTACAAGTCAAAATCTCAACCATATTTCAAGTAGGAAAAACGAACAATATGATGCAAATAGGAACATACAGACAATTAACTCTTCACTCTTCTGTGAAATAAGCATGAGAACAAATATATAATTAGCAACATTGAGAACAAATACTCTAAAGACAGTGTGCACAGGTCAGGTCCCAACTTCACCACCCTCCTTTGTCACGACCCAACTTTTCCTCCGTTTGGATATCGTGATGGCACCTAGTCTTAGGGACTAGGTAAGTCTAACTCATACTAAAATGCCACAATAAGAAATGAGATTTAACAGTCTTGAAGCAACAATCTCTACAAAATTTATAATTCCCAAAACCCGGTAGTACAAATCATAAGCTCTACAGAGTTTCGCTACAACTTCTAAACACAACCGTATGGAAATAAGTACAACAGTGTGAATATAAGATAGGAAGGTGACTCCGAAGCCTGCGAACGCAACAATAGGACTACCTTGAGTCTCCTCGGAAAGAAGCCATACAACTACTAGCGAACAATACCTGGATCTGCACAAAAAATGTGCAGAAGGGTAGTATGAGCACACCACAGCGGTGCCCAGTAAGTATCAAGACTAACATCGGTGGAGTAGTGACGAGGAACAGTCAAGACACCCACTGGCCTAATAAGCAGAACAAGTATAAGTATAGAAACAACCGAACAAGATATCTATATAAAGGCTAAGCGATATTGCTAACAATACAGTAACTACAATAAGGAAAGAAAACAACAAGTAACAACGGAATACCATAATAAAGCTCATAAAAGTGAACAAAAATACAACCCAAATTCGAAATCACAAATACAGTAAGGACAAGTCATAACTCAGCAACTACGGCAGCTTTCACATTAGGTCATAGTCAACAACTTCAACCAATTAGTTAAATCTTTTAGTTGATAAAAACATTTCGAATTATACTTCCTTCAAGTAAATATTTTTCCAAAATAGTTCTCTAAAAATGAGTACCTTTCGAATATAACCCTTTCAAACAAATATCCTTCAAATATAAGTCACCCTGTGACACCTCATCTCATAGTCATACAATACGGGTCTCAATACTTGAAACTAACACTTGGCATCCTGTGCCCTCATCACACCTCATAATCATACTGACAACTCACGTGCCCAAAAGAGCCATTCTCACATGGAAGGAAAGTAAACAAGAGTGTGCGTCTATACTCAAAAATCTCAAGGAACCTCCTATCCGATAAGGGTGCTTAGTCACGTGTATGTTGTGCAAGTGTCCTATCATAGTTCATACCAGCTAGTAAGCATAAGGACAAAAACGGACAGCACATATGTTGCTTACACAGGGATAGGATCAATGAAAACCACAGCTCATAACACAGAGATAGCAACAGGGGATCTCCCAGGATAACGACCCGTAGTCCCCAAACATAAATATGCAGAGGATCTCCTGGGATATCGTCCTGTAGTCCCAAACGTAAATGTGCAGGGAGAATCCACCGAAATACCGATTCGTAATCCCAAAGTAAATATACATGGGGATCTACCGAAACACCGATCCGTAGTCCCAAAGTAAATATGCAGGGGGATCTTCCGGAATACCGATCCATAGTCCCAAAGTAAATATGCAGGGAGATCTACCGGAATACCGATCCGTAGTCCCAAAGTAAATATGCAGCGCCACCAACAGAAACAACAGTTACAGCACAACAGAAAACTTGTACGTCACCACAATACGTATAACAACAACAATGCCAATAATACACGGTAAGACAAGTAAATCAACTCAAGGACTGTAAATCACAAGGAAACAGTAGAACCAGCTCAGAAAGAATAACCACAGAAAAGAATGCTAACATAAAGGGAACAGTTCAACAACGGGAAAACTAACATGTAGCAACGATCCCACAATATACAAGTCAATAACAAGGAAACCAACACGAGTCAAGTAGTCCCAAATAAGGGCAAATCAACAAGGATATAGGTTATCGAAACTCCTTTTTAAGGTTGGACAATTCCGATGATACTCGATAATTCAATTTAAGGAAAGATAATCTTAGCTTCACTTAAGACTAAACAATTTCAGGAGGGAAAATAAAAGTTCTCAAATAAGACAAGCAGCTATGAAAAGATAGCATGACGATAGGAGAGGCAAAATTCTTCAATTAAATCAAATAGGAGTCAATTAGGCAATAAGAGTGAATCGTGAAGCAATTAATTCCAATTAAGCATGTAGAGGTGAAACTAGTAAATAGGAAACTCAGTCATGTCAAAAACACATTCATACACAGTAAATATAAAGACCTAAGAACTCTAAAAGGCCAACTTCCCACAAATAAGTCCGAACACGCACTCTTCACCTCGCGTACACGGACTGCAATCCACATAGAAGACTCAAATCCTAAGTGGAAGTCCCCCACACGAGGTTAGGCAAGATACTTACCTCAAATACGATAGACCGATACTCTAAAATGCACTTCTCGGGTGAAAAGGCCTCCGAACGGCTCAAATCCAACCAAAATCATTTCAAAGCACAAATAAAACACATAAGAAACTATTCCGGATCATAAAGTCTCAATCTTTAACAAAATTGGAAAATTGGTCCAAAAGTCGACCCCCGAGCTCGCACCTCGGAACCCGATAAATTTTACAAAGTACGAATACCCATTCCAATATGAGTTCAACCATCCAATATGAGTTCAACCATACAAAAATTATCAAATTCCGATATCATTTGGTCCTTCAAATCGGGAGAAATTCAAAAATAACCAGATTTACAAGTGGTCGTTCAAAAATAGCCCAGTTTCAAAAGTAATTGAAATCTAGCCACTTTTCATGTAAAGATAAATCTGAGCGGAAAACACTATTCAAGACCTGAAAAATACATCAGTATATTATGCTGGAGTTCCAGCATAAGTATACTTGAACTCCAGCATATTATACTGGAGTTCCAGGATAAGTATGCTGGAACTCCAGCATAATATGATGGAGTTCCAGCATAAGTACACTAGGACTCCAGCATAATATACTGGAGTTCCAGCAAAGTATACTGGTCCAGTATAATATACTGGAAGTTACAAGTGCTCGAATCTCCAGTATATTATGCTGGAACTTTCCGTGTGTTGGAGTTCCAGCATAATATGCTGGAAGTTCATACACAGGTGCACCGAACTCCAGTATATTATGCTGGACCGGTCTCTGTTGCAGCAAAATAGTGGCTATTTTTCATTGACTTGGTAAACGCTGGCTATTTTTGAATGACCAGTCCAAAAACTGGCTAGACCGTGCTATTTTTACCTTCAAATCATCATTTTACATTTTTTTGAAAGATTCTACAAATTTTCCCAAATTTTCCTTTAGATTCTCATGAATTTAATGTTAAATCTAAGATATAATCGCAAATTATAGTCGGAAATTGATTAGAGACACTTACCCAATGATCTGGTATGAAAATCTTCCCTCAAAATCGCCTACTCTCGGAGTTAGGGTTTGAAAATTTGAAAGAATGAGTTGAAATCCCGTCAAAACCTGTTTTTGAGCAGTTGCAAGTATCGCATTTGCGATCACAGGTTCGCAATTGCAAACTCGCAAATGCAACCAATACTTCGCAAATGCGAAGCTTGGTCTGACCGGCTGCCTTCGCAAATGCAAACAGATGTTCGCAATTGCGGCCTCTGCTCTCTTCCGTTTTCACCAAATTTCACAGATATGACTTAAATATTATAACGGACTTGTACCGGGCTCTGGAACCAAAATACAGGCCCGATACCATCAAGTTCCAACACTATTCAATTTCTAAAAACCTTTATATTTTCCAGCAAACAATTTTCTTCAAAAATTCATTCCTCGGGCTAGGGACCTCGGAATTCGATTCCGGGTATACGCCCAAGTCCCATATTTTACTACGGACCCTTTGGGACCGTCGGAACATGTGTCCGGGTCCGTTTACCCAAAATGTTGACCGAAGTCAACTAAAGTCATGTTTTTAAGCCAAACATCATTATTCTCTAAATTTTTTACACAAAAGCCTTCGGGCATCGCGCCCGGACTACGCACGCAAATCGAGGAGAGATAAAAGGAGGTTTTCAAGGCCTCAGAACACAGAAACGGATTCTAAATCGAAAGATGACCCTTTTGGGTCATCGCATCCTTTTGGAAAATCAAGTAGATGATAAGAAAATTATTACTAGAACGTTTTCTAATTAAATCTAATAAGCAATTATGTTTGGTTAAATCAACAAGTTATAGCAAACACTAAATAAAGATATTCACTTTTTAACCCATAATCATAATTTAGTGATGCATTATGACCAATTTGCCAATAAGGGAACCTAAAGTGTTTTTTTAGTTTACATTATATTTCTCCTTTACAGCTGGAGCTTTAATTAATTAGAACCAACACCACAACCATATACAATCAAGATCTACAAGAAACTTTCAGCAATTTCAGAACTTCCAAATGCTTCAAGTAACACCAATATTGATGAACAATGAACCACGTACAATTGAATGAAATTTAAAAACTTAAAATCAGAAAGCACAAAAGAAATGAGCACATCAACTTTGACAACACGGAGTACAATAAAAACAATTGAACATGGTCTGGTGGATGCTAATAATCCAACTGAAGCGGATGACTTCCTTAACCGAGAAGTGAGCAATGATAGCATGAAGTACAATGAAAACATACCTGAAGCTGCTCTTGATGGAAAAGGCATGTAGCTAGAAAGAATAGATTAAGAACAATTTTCGGATGACAAAGTGGATAGTCCAGTTAAAATCAAACAACATAGTTACTCAAAACCATAACTTTGTGGAGCGGTACAGCTAAATCCATTTATGGAAAAAAGCCATACAAAAGTAGAACAACTAAATTCATATCATTTCCTATACTTGTCCCATATATAACGTGAATACCCGGTGTCTGAAACCATTTTTCATTCAACCAGGTACATGGGATATTATGCGGAGCACTATAAGAACCGATCAGATCAATCATGCATAACGCGAACAATTCTCAACAAAGAAAACTTAACCTCTTACCTTATTCTAGTCTTCTTTTCTTTTTTCACCCTAATTAATCTTCTGATTTAGATGTAGTTGATTGATATGCTATGTTCAATTAATCAACTTTAAACAATAGAGTACTGTTGTTATTTTAACACCAATTATCACCAGAAAGGATGTAGTGTTATCTTTTCTTTAAGATAAGTACTCCACTTTCAGGTCAGCTATTAAGATGAGTTGTCCATGATTTCTAATTAAATGAAAATCATACATTTTCAGCAAATTACTTAGCTTTACCTTGTAAGGATCAGCGTTCCAATATTTAAGAAGCTCTCTAAATTGAGAATCCGGAACATCAACCGGCCTTTTCTCCATTCGAAGCTCGTCATTTTCATAAGGTTCAAAAAGGTCTTTCTTTAACGGATTCTTATACTTTCTCCAAGCAGTTTGAATTGATTTAAAAACCCACGCTTTCCCACCTTCAGGAATGTTATATTTTTCCTTCAAATTTGGTATAGTTAGGTTAGTATAAAAGATATGAAATATCATCCACGCCTATTAAATATTGTGAACTTCAAACCTTGACATATTTCCACATATCTTCTTTTGTTTCAAGTTTTCTCCAATTAAATACATTAAGAGGACAAAAGATCGCATTCCTTGCCAATGTTCCAAGAAAACTACCCAACACTTTTACAGCTGTATCAGTAGGACCTATGGGTTAATTGTTCTCATTTAGCACAATTTGCTTCGCTCTCTTCTACCATGAACACTTTGCATCTGAGTTCTGCCTCTTTTTCTTTTTTCGGCAGAAGGACCTGCATTAATATGAAGAAAGAATAATCACCAAAAGTCATTATTGTTATGGTTGACGATTGAAATTTATATGTTCTTGCCTTGTTCCTCGGATTGTTCGTTGTTTCATGATTAGAAGAATCCTCAAATTGTTCTTGTACCATTTGTGAAGTACGAGTAGTGGAATCAACTCTTTTTGTCAATTAAATTTAGCTGATGCTTTTCATTTGACCTTGTAGCTTTAACAACTCTTTTTGTTTTCAATGACAAAACCTTTAGGTTTCGCAAAGATACAAGTGATCCAGCCGCAATGCATTTTTGTAACTTTTTTATTTTTACTTGAGCGCCCTTCCTGATTCATGACTACTTAAATTCGTGATCTGCTTTCCTCTGTTCAAAATTAATGAAATTGCAAATTAAACAACAGAAAAGAATCAAAATCTGGAATCAAATCTATTCTCCCTGCACTAAGTAGTATAAGGAAGGATTGCTAGAATGATTTAAGAGTATGCATCTGTTAGTTATATATGTACTGTTAATACACGTTCAAGATAATATGCTACATTTCATGAAGAACTAAAATGCCTCTCTATGATAATATGCATCTCTATTTCAATGCATGTCAAATCATGCTAACATTTTCCATTGATAAATTAGTTTATATATGTACTGTTAACACACGTTCAAGAAAAGAAAAATAAATGATGAAGTGGAATTGACACATCATAGAGAGGTTGTGCATAAAATGATGAAATATAAAAGCATTAAGTTTTCCAAGGCTTGACCAGTATCCATAAGTGGCTTACCAAACTGACCATTTTCACTTCAAATTGGAACAATGTAAGCTTGACAAGATAAAAGAATGCAATGAATATGGTAATCAAGAAAAGCTATATACAGAACATACCTCAATATGGTAAAAGAAGAATTCCACAACTCAAACAAATCTTTTCTAGCTATAAACACATTTATGGCCATAGTTGAGCTAAAGTGAGTCTCTTCTACTGCTTCCCCTTCCCAACACTTTTACTATATTCTCTCACAAATTATATTCCAATCTTGTAAACTAAGTAAGCAAGTTCAACCCCTTTTTCTTGTCACCGCATATCTTTGTATTAGTGCTCTTTTTTTTCTTTTTCTTTTTCTACTCCATCTTTTTCCTTCTGGAAAACACTGTGTTTTACCTAACTACTTTACTGAGCATGTTCAAGCATATCTCCTTAGTTTCCAAAGTTTAGATCTTTGAGAAAATTGGGGTCTTTTCTTTTGCTTATAGATGTTTTCTTGGTTTGCAAACTGAGATGATGGTTCCGGTTTTCTTCATCATTTATCTACTTCACCAATGTACAAGGATACAGCAACATTGTGATACGTTCTGGAAACTTAATTTGATTCCCTATAATTTCTGATAAGTGAAGATTTGGTCAATTAACTGAATACTGATCTCAAACTATTTATTTAGGTAGAAGATGATATCAATGTACATGACAAGAATACTGATCACAAACTACAAGTATTATAGCATGAAAAGAATGTAACATGACAGGTGTTATAAATGTTATCAATACCTCAATTCACTATCAATTCAATCCTCGACCGGTTGCTATCAACAAGTACTTAATCGGATGTTATTAACCTCATCAACAGCTGCAACAATATCACAAGATCCTAAATCCTGCAAAATTGAAGCATCAGAATAAAATGCTAAAGGAAAAAAACAAATAAAATATAATAAAAAGATCAGTATTAGAAATAAGAGTAATTATAAAATACTGATAAAAACATTATCACTCACTCAAAACAGAATATATTTAAAGAATTTCAGAAATTTCCTCTTTAATCATCTGATTCCATCCAGTCCCAATCAGTATCATCAAACTCATCCTCCTCTTCCCATGTTCCTATAATTGTATCATTTGAATGTTGTGCATTAGATGGAATATCAACGGCATCAATGGGTACGTCGTCTCTAGCCCATCCAACGCCAGCATCAACTAATCCATTTGAGGAACCAATGTCATCATTAGGCTCCCTCCAAGGAACTAACTATTATGGTCTTTATATCAAAGTTACTCGCAGATGCAAGACTTACTCACCCATTCATAGTGCACATAAGACAACTTCTTTCTATAGCTATCTTGTATGTATTCAGATTTTCCAAATTATACACAGGCTTGGTATAAGGAGGTTTTATATTTTGAAGCAAGACAATATTAATTAACTTGTCTCTTAGTTTAAGCATTTCAAATGCTTCCCCTTTTGCCATCAGCTAATTGGCATACATAAGTTTCCTTGCGTTACAGCATCAAAATCTGGTCAACCTACTGAAAACTAATCGTCTTGTCCTTTTTTACCCTTCACACCGCGATCATCTAGATCAAGTCAGTTCTATTTCTAGCACAAAGGCAACTTAAATTACTGGTTTGACACCATAAAATTAAGAAAAAACAAGAAAAAATTCAGATTCACAACTGTGATGTACTATTTATCAATTAATATATATACACCATCCCTAGATCAATTCTACAACCTCCATGGATAGATTGAAGAGTTAAAAAAAGGCATCAAAAGAACTTACATGGTTAAAATCACTGGTGTTGGATTTAGGGATATGGGGAGAGCACCTGTTTGGCGAAGTATTCTCAAATGCCTCAAAAATTCGCCACCCGCATTCATGATACCCAAAGAAGTGTCCACCAAATCAGCAAAACTTATTTGTAAAACCCCTTAAATCCAACGATATAGCAAAGTTCACAGAGTGAAAGAGAGAAATACGATAGAGAGGAAGATTCAACGGATTTTTCAGAGTGAAAGAGCGCTGATTTTTGGTGAGAGAGAGAGAGGCGTTTGTAATTGGGGGTATGCGAATTGAGAGGGGAAATATTTGTGGATTTTTGCTTTAGGGGTATCGGCTAGATATTGGGGGAAAGAGCAAAAAAAATTAACTTAATATTTTACATTATTAAAATTATTCAAAAATAAAATAAATAGGGGTTGTTTTGGTGGATTTAACAAAATTCAGGAGGGAAAATAAGGAGGGAAAAAATATCCGTTCCAATAGAAAAATTTTACTATAAAACCGTTCCATAGATAGTTCTATTGGGACGCTTTATATAACCGTTGCGACAAATGCATCTATGGCAACGATTGTTTTGCAATTGCAATGGATGTATAGCTAAAGTGTGCTAATATTACCAAAATGCTATTGTAACGGTTGTAACCGTTACCATATATATTCTATAGCAACCGTTGCTACAATAATTGTTGTCATAAGCCCATTTCCTAGTAGTGCCAGGTGGAGCTCAGCACAACCTTTCATCCGCAGATCGACAGGCAGTCAGAGCGGAAAGTTTAAATTTTGGAGGATATGCTCAGAGCATGTGTTATTGACTTCGAAGGGCAGTGGGATAGATTCTTGACCTTGGCCGAGTTTTCTTATAATAACAGCTATCACTCCAGCATCGAGATGGATCTATTTGAGGCTTTATGTGGTCGCCGATATCGTTCGCCCATCGGATGGTTTGAGCCCGGCGAGGCTAGGTTATATGGCATATATTTAGTGAAGGGTGTCTTGGAGAAGGTAAAGGTTATTCAGAAGCGACTTCGCACAGCACAGTCCATATACAAGAGTTACACGGATCAGAAGACGCGTGATTTATCCTTTATGGTGGGCAAGAAGGTTCTCTTGAATGTCTCACCGATGAAGGGTATCATGAGGTTCGAAAAGAAGGACAAATTGAGTCCGAGGTTTATTGACCCATTTGAGGTGGTGAGGCGAGTTGGGGAGGTTGCTTATGAGCTTGCTTTGCCTCCAAGTCTATCGGGAGTTCATCCGGTCTTCCATGTGTCTATGCTCTAAAAGTACCATGTCGACAGGTCATACGTGTTAGATTACATCACGGTTCAGCTAGACGAGAGTTTGGGTTATGTGGAGTAGCCAGTTGCCATTGTTGACATGCAGGTTCGCCAGTTGAGGTCCAAGATGATTTTTTCGATAAAGGTCCAGTGGAGAGGCTTGCCAATCGAGGAGGCGACTTGGGAGGCCGAGGAGGACATGCGCAGCAGATATCCAAACTTATTCAGCACTCCATGTATGATTCTAGACCCGTCCGAGGACGAACGTTTGTTTAAGATATGGATAATTTAACGACCCGACCGGTCGTTTTGCTTTCTAGATCCCCATTCCCCTAATTAAGATGTCATGTATGTGCTCTTACTATTTTTATGACTTGGGGGGATGGTTGGTTCGGGTTTGGAAAGGTTCGGGTTGGAATCGGAATACTTAGTTCCCTAATAGTGCCCTATGACTTAAGTCAACATTTTGGGTAAACAACCTCATAATTGGAATTTGATAACTCCAATAGGTTCGTATGATGATCTTGGACTTGGGCGTGTGTTCGGATCAGGTTTCGGGTGATCCGGGAGTGTTTCGTCGCTTAATGTGGAAGGTTTTCTAGTTCTTTAAATTTGGTTTGGAGTAGACTTAGGTCCGTATAGTGATTTATGACTTGTACGCAAAATTTTGTATCATTCCGACTAGTCTAAGTATGATTCGACGTGTTCAGAGCTAATTGAAAGTTAGAAGTTCATTAGTTGATTCATGTTGGTTTTGGGGTACGATTCTTGGTTTCGATATTGTTTTACGTGTTTTGAGGGTTCGAGCAGGTCCGTATTATATTTTTAGACTTGTTGGTGTGATTAGTTGGGGTCCCGGGGACTGGGTGTTTTTCCCTTCAGGTTCGTGTTCAAGAGGTCGTATTTTGCGAAGGACTAGGACCGGTAGCCTTCGCGTTTGCATAAAGAGGCCCGCATGCACGTAGAATAAAGGGCCTGGGGTGGGTCAGCCACCTTTGCTCTTCGCGTTCATGAGGGAATGACCACGTTCCCAAGTTCTGGCTTGGCAAGCCTTCGCGATTGCGAAACTACCCTCGCGTTCGCAAAAGGGTCTTCAAGGCTTGGGCCAGCTATGCCTTCGCGATCGCGAGGCTGTAAAGCCAGGTAGAATTTCAACTAAAACCCGGGGTTTCGTGGTGCCTAGGTGAGCTAATGCATTTGAAATTATACGGACTTTTTGGGTTGAGCAGAGCGTTGGGGAGTTGAAGAAAACTTGTTGTAGAAAAGGGCATTTCTGCAGTCCATTATGTGACTGCAGAACTGATCGCAGACCGCAGATCAGCCGCAGATAAAGCAGAGAAATGGGCAAATTTTGGAGGTTGCTTTGCAGTCAACTATGCGATCGTATAACCGTTTCGCGGGCCGCACATCTATCGTAGAAGCCAGTATGAGAAATTTTGGAAGGAGGTTCTACGGTCATTTCTGCTACTGCAGGATTGGTCGGTGGACCGCAGACCTATCGTATACCTGAACAGAAATGCCTAGTTCAAGAGGGCCATTATGCGGTCCACTTTGCGGACTGCAGAAGTGTATGCGACCGCAGATTTGCATCGGTGCTTCATTTTTTAAATTTCTTAACCCAACCCTATTTTGATATATAGTCGTTAGGGACCAATTGTAAAAGGAAAATCTTATATTTTGAGAGTGAAGAAGTGCTCTAGAGTGTTAGGGGGTACCTAAACTATTTGTTCATCAATTCTTTCTCAAGGCTTGGAGAATTAACAAGGAAAACTCGCTAGGTCTTCATCCTAGAGGTAAGATTCTATTTTTGAAGATTATTCTTATGATATTTTGGGCTGGAAATAATATGGTAAGCATAAGTATGATGTTATAGATTTTGTAGGCAAATTCATGGAAAAGGAATTGAATTAAATTATATTTTTTTAATTGAAAATTGAGCTTGCCGCTTAAAATGGCTGTTGGAGTAATCAGAGAGCTTGTTGTGAATTATATTGTTGTTGTTTGGGCTGTTTGGTGACTTCTAGTATCTTATGGGATATAGTAAAAATAGGGAAGGTGTTGTCCATTTTCTTGTAGAATATTGGTTTTGAAATATGAGAGTTACAACGCTTATATGATGACGACGAAGTCGGATTACTCATTGTAGACGTAAGAAAATCATATTGAGGTTGGTTGATGATTGGAGAGAAGATTGCACAGGTAAGTTAAGACATTTCCTTATTTCATTTGGAATGATCTAAAGTTAAGTCAACGTAAATGATACACTATTTCATAACGGATCTATTCCTAGCAACTAAGGTTGTCCATGTTGTTCTTTCCTTATAAAGTTATTCTAAGCAAGTATGTATGATCCTTGAATCCTATTGAGGTTCATATTGATGGTATAGATGTCCATAATGTTAATCGAAAGTGCAACGACCCGACGTAACTCCGAAAGGTTTAGAACATGATTCCATGATTCCAACATGCATTATATATATGTATCTATTTTACTCTACTGAGTCGCGCTATAGTCGGCCGGGTATGGCACTTATTATGCAACCACTGATCAGTTGGGTTTTACCGAGCTCCACGTGGCCGGTACGGTACCGATCCTTATGATGGTCGGGTACATTTTTACCAAGTCCTCTTCAAGGCCGGGTACGATGTGATGATGATGATGCCAACAGAGGTGTATGTTTTTAAAAGTATATGTATCATGCATTTCATGTCAGTAGCCCCAAAAGGCACTCAGATGTTACAAGTTGTATCTTCTCTATCTCTCTTTGCATTATTGTTCTTACTTAGTTTCCCTGCCTTACATACTCGGTACTTTATTTGTACTGACGTCCCTTTTGTTTGGGGACACTCTGTTTCATACCCACAGGTCCCAATAGACAGGTTGACAGTCCTTCTAGTAGGCTATCGGCTCAGTGTAAGGTGTTGGTGTACTCCATTTGCTCCAGAGTTGCTTATTCGGTGAGTATACTTTGGACATGTATTGATTGGTATGAAGGGGCTTTGTCCGGCCTTTATGACGTTTATGTAGTTTTAGAGGCTTGTAGACAATGTCATGTATATGGATACTTGTATGGACTTTTCAGCCTATGTTTTGAGTGTACAAACGGTCATGTCAACCTTATAGACTCGTATGTCAATTACATAAGTTTGTATATCATGTTAGGTCATCCTATGTCGAGTATTCCCTTATGTTTTATTCTGGTTATCTGATGACAGGATGATAAGAAAGATACGTTACATTGGTACTCGGTTGAGTAAAGCGTCGGGTGCCCGTCGCGGCCCTTCGGTTTGGGTTGTGACAAACTTGGTATCAGAACAGTTCTATCCTAGAGAGTCTACAAGCTGTGTCTAGTAGAGTCTTGTTTATGGTTGTGTTGTGCACCACACTTATAAGCAGGAGGCCACAGGGCATTTAGGACTGTCACTCTTTCTTCTTACTCTAGATCGTGTGGTAGAGCTGAGTTGTAAGAATTTAAACTCTTAAATTCTATTTTATTCGTGATACAACGATACCTACATCCAGAAAGACTGTTGGAAAGAGATTACATATGGCTATGGAAGGGTTGAGTCAAGGAACTCGATTTTGCTTCATGCTTATGATGAGTAAATGTGAGGTCTTTAGCAGCTCATGTGTGTACTAAGACGTGTGAGCTTCTTGATAAGGAGCACTAAGGCAAGACTATCTTTCTACCCATATGGTAAAAAGCAACGAGAGAATCAAAAGGTAGATACAAGTTTCAACAAGTAAAAGAAGCAAGGTGAAGAAGGGTACAAGGTGCCCAGTTAGTGAAGATTATCAGTATTTACAATTCAGGCAGAGAAATATAAGTATTGTGAGTTACCTTCAACAAAAACAGAGCTATGTACAATTGGCCACACTCATCTCAGTTATGCCCTATGGGAGCTAACATATATAGTTTACGAGAAGGATAGGATATCAGGATCTAGCTAGGGTTAAAGTAACCCAAAATGGTGGATGGATTGTTAGCATTAGCTGATATTTCCAAATGATATTGCAAACGTTGTAATAGCTTTCCTTGTGA